AGCAAATGTTCAGTCTTAAAATGCCTAGCAAATTACAGGCAATAGTCTAGCAGCTATCTCAATCAATCGTTAGTTATGGAAAGATCGGGTTACAAAGGCCGGATCCCTTGTGAATAAAGTCACGAAAAATTCAAGAATCGGCAACAGGCCATTGGCCTATTTATTCAGTGCCGACACTTCTATTCTATTCTATAAGGTTTGCTGTCTTCATTTTGGCCCATTCTGTCACGAAGAACTGTGAACTCTATTTTTATTATTAACACGTTTTTCTTAACATAGCTTCGCGTTTGTTTGTTTGTTTGTTGTTAACATTGACAACGAAAATTAGCCCACTTTTGATTGCTCTAGAGATCTGAAATTCGACCTGCAGGCTATTTTCGCCTAACAATTTCAGATACAATCAGAAAAACTAGCAATTAGAGACCTAAATAAGCTTAATCGAGTAAAGTATATATATATTAGTATATATTCAACGCCGACACTTCTATTCTATATATAGTATGACGTGTGGGCGCTAACGTTATAGACGAGCAGGCGCTGACGCTGCGTATTATCGATACGTACAAGTAAATTGGCTCGCAACAACGTTTTTCATGTGTAGCAACGGACTAAAACGGAGAAAATAAAATACTTCAAAAATTAAAATAACACGTTTTTCTTGTGGACTAAAAAGTAGAAAATAAAATACTTAAAAAAAAAACTTTTTAAAAAAACACGTTTTTCTTGTGGACTAAAAAGTAGAAAATAAATTATGGCTCGCCCCAAAAAACGTGGGTCGGGTTGTACGTTCACCATCAAATTTCCAAAATTCGTGTGTTGTGTGCTTTTCGCTTTAATCATAAATCTGCCCGACACACGTTTTTTGGGGCGAGCCATAATTTATTTTCTACTTTTTAGTCCACAAGAAAAACGTGTTTTTTTAATTTTTTTAAGTATTTTATTTACTGTTGCCCTTGCGGCGACGTTAAAAAAAAATAAAAAATATTAATCAGGTTAGTGACAACAATGACAGAATTAAGATCGGGATAACGGGATACTAAAATTGTAAAGATTAACGAGCCCGAGAAATGCAGTTATGACCGGCTGTGCTAGCTGTCAATTTTGGAATTACTTGCAGTTGATTTTACGCAGTATGCGAAAAATAGTACATTCAGCGCACGGTAGACAGCTGCAATCACTCTTCTTATAGTGCCGTTTAAAATGGCTAGCATCACAATATATGAATAAGTATAGTCTGTCTCCACCAATTACATCAATACTCATCGTTGACCACGCACCTACTTGATGTACGGAAGTATTTGAATACAATATATTTAGTTTAGAAGTACCTAAACACTGAAATGAGTCTATATCATTCCAATACTGAAGAATAAAAATTCGGACTTTAACAATTCTTGGCAAATCCATCCGAAAATTTAGGGTATCTTGAATTTTTTTCAAATATCTTTGCCTCCCTCTATTAGGCTCCAAGTCGTTTTTGTGATTGTTGTGAACTGGTGTGTGTCTGTGAAACTCTGTGTGGAGTAACTGTACCTAGTTGTGAACTGCAGACGCGCGGTCCGGTGCGGAGAGCCAACTGGGCTTTCGTACTCGTTCGGGGCGGCCCATGGTAGCAAAGCAGACTTTTTTTAGTTTCTTACTAAAGTTCAATGTTGATTTTTATAAGTAGATCAGCAAAGTATCCTAGATACCAGCATTATCATTCATAAAATATTAGATTAAATCTTGAGGAAATCAAAAATTAAATGATTCTAAAAAATATATACCTAGTTTGTCAGTGTCAGCACTGTGCCACTGTCAGACAGTCAGAGTCAGACACTGTGCAGACTGCAGACAGCAGTCTGTCAGTCTGTGCTTGTATGCAGTTACCTATGTATGGCTGTATGGGCAGGGTACCCAACTCCCAAGGAAGACTCAAATTTTTTGAGATTTTCTTCCAATATTTTGAACAATTATTATAGGAGCCTTCTCATTCATAAGATCTGATCATCTGAGTATATTATCAACAATTTTTCTTCATGATCAACCAACTCTAGGCCTAGGGCTCAAATGAATTAGCTAGTACCTAGTAGCACTAGCTAGTACTAGTAGCTACTACTACTAGCTAGTTATGATTATGAAGATTGAAGTATTTGGATATAAATCATGTAATTATTGTATATTTGATCATTTTGATGGCTGCAGATGGCAGGATTAGAATTTTTCTACTTGTTTCTGGAATCTCACGGCTCCAATCAATGTGACAAATTTTTAATACAATTGGAATTTGGAATCTCAAATTTTCTATGGCCATGGCAGGCATGGCCCATTTGTGCACTGTTGTTCAGTGACTTCAGTCTTCAGTCAACCTAGATTAGTAGTCTTAGGTAATTCATCTGCCACCAATCCGCTGCAACAAATGCAAGAAGTGTGGAGCCAGATAGTGGTAGCCTATCCCTGGTTGTGCGGCATAGTGGCAAAGCAGAGAGTTTTTTAGACTCTCCCTCAAGTTCGTTTTTGAGTCCTATAAGTAGACCAGTAAAGTATCATGGATACCAGTATTATCATACATAAGAAATTGGTTCAAATCTTGAGTAAATGAGAAAATTAAAAATGAACTGATTCTAAAAAATCTTTGGTTTGCCACTATGTTGTGCGGTGTTGCAGACTTGCAGTTGCAGTTCTGGCAGAAACCTCACAGTTCTGAAATTCGACTCTGGCCAAATTTCAGAATTCGGCCAACGGCCGCAGCTCTAAAGATAGGGTAAAGGTAAACACTCGGCCACGCACACCATATTCTGACACTTTAAGGATACTAGGATATGACAAGAAATGAATGGCTATTAAAAGATAACTGTATGTGCAACTTGAGTTCTGGTTGGTTTATGTCACTCTCAAAACACCACACTATGTGCCACGGTGCCAGCAGGCAGCCCGCAGCAATTGTGATTAGTGAAACATCACAACTCACAAACTGTTGCCAACTTGCCATAGGGTAAACGGGGTATATTCCGTCACATTAAGGACGCATCGAGAAATGAAAAACTATAAAAAATAACAGTATGCGTTACTAGAGTTCTGTTTGCTTTATTTGACTCGCAAAACACCGTACTACACGCCAGCAACAACGAAATGTCACAAAATGTTGCCATATTTATTTAAAAGCCTTTAGAATGGAAACCTACCAAATCCCTATATTTCGTCACTGTGTGTGGCAATATTCAGCACGTGGTGAGGCGTATTACGTCCGCGCATAAAATTCTACTGATACGTAATGCCGTCAGGCATCATCCACGTGTTCTAATATGGAATATATCTACTTGGCGAGCCGCGACTGGATTTTTCGAGCCGTGGTTTTATGGATTTGCCAGCCGTGATTCCATTTCTACGAGCCGTGATTCTATTTCACCGAGCCGTGAATTCCATATCTCGGCCATGAAAAGCCATTTACTTAGTCACGGTAGCTGTAATTACTTTATTAAGTTTACTTCTTTGCAGTCATATTAAGAGACAAATCTTTAACAAACTAATACTTTGTATAATTTTAATTGTTGAGTGAAAGCTGCGCCTGCAGCCTTGCTGGCACGCAACATTTCCAAGTGAGTTAGCCTACCTTATAGAAACTTAGCATACCCATACGTGTTTTAAGCCTATAAGAAGTTCATTTTTTTGCCTGAATAATGTTGTATCGAAAAACTGGTGTAGGTGTATCAGGAATAATATATGAACAGTCAATATTAGAATTCCATCCTGGCCAAGACCTAGTGTTTTGGCATTAGTTTGACGTGCAAATGTATGACGTCACCATTTAAACCATCAACGAACGCATGGAACTAAAACAAAGCTTAATATAAAGGAAAAACTAAAGAGGTGACGGAATTACCCATGATGATGGAATATACCGCGTTTACCCTATTTATGTAAAAGCCTTTAAAATTCAAATTTACAAAATCGCCGAATTCTGACACTGTGTGTGACTAAATTTGGCATATTGTGAGACATTCCGACAACGCTTCAAAACCATAATTCGTAATTCTGACGCCCTGTGTTGGAATTCCGATGCCGTGTGTGAGCTGTATCGGAATACGATGCAGCTCGGTACCTACGAGCTGTGCGTGTATAATTCCGAGCTGTATTGGAATTCGTTTTTACATGTCTAAAACCGTCTCTTAACTTAATCATCTATTAATTTATTTACCACTTAAAATCAGCAAATACAAGTATACTTAAAGGATTCCTAATATATTCATAGACTTATTTAAAAGTCACAAACCATAATATTCTTTCTACACAAACAGTTTATCACTATTTGGTAGAGCAAGGTCAACTATCAACTTTGACATGTGTTTCGATTTTCTCGCTGGGTGGCATGGACTTTTCCCTCTGAGGATCTTGACATTTTCCTGCTAGACCTAGTGTTTTGTGGAAATCTGGCGTGCAATAGTACGACGTCACTAGTTCGACTATCTACGCATGTGTGGAACTAAGTTGAGGGGTGTCGGAATTACCCACTGTGTTGGAATATGGTGCGTTTACACTACCGTAAAATGGGGTAACTTAGACCGGCGGGGTAACTTAGACCACTTTTCGTTTTTTTAACAAAAAACCCCACAACTCAAAAACTATTTGACATAGTAAAATTTTGTAAATGGGCATTAAAGGCCTAATACTGAGTCTACATAACACAATAGAAAGATTTGAAAAGTTTGCATATCTAATAGGTTAAAAAATTAAAAATGTGACCCACAAAAAAAAGCTATTATTTAAAGCCTGTCAGATTACCCCCTCCAATTTTTTTATTAAATAACTCCAGGTTTTGATGCATTGTAGTAGAACTCTTCTAGTTACATATGCAAATGACAAATTTCAGGAAAGTGTCATAGTTTGCAAATAGGGGGTGCCGTCCCCAAATGGGGTAACTTAGACCACCTAATGTCAGCCCTGACGGGGTAACATAGACCGGCTTGGAAGTTAATATAAAATTACCATATTGAAATTACATAAAGTCTATGAGAGGCAGGAGCCAGCAATTTATGGTGAGTGAAGCTAGAGTATAGACCTGTATTTTGCATGTTTCAATTCAAGTTTAATTTAGCTAGTAAAAAAATGGCATCATTTATAATAAAAAAAAGTGGTCTAAGTTACCCCATTTTACGGTACTATCATTATGGCTCAATAATATTAAAGTTTCATTTAATTGAACCCTTTGTATAATTTTCTAACATAAATAATGCCTATACATAACATTTGAGAATTATATAAATGAATATTCAAGTGACATAAAGAGAGGAAAATCTCAAACTTACCCAATGAACCAGAACACACATTGTACAAGGCTTTAGCTTCACAAGGAACATGTTACTTTGTGTACACACAGATTAATGTTGCAAATGAGAAGAATTGCATTAGGGCTCAAAGATACATGAAAAAAATATAACTCAGTACTCACTGCAGTGAGACTGTGAGTGACAGAGAGCACATTTTCTCGTCAACAAAAACTTGAGGTCATGGACGGACGGACAGACAGATGGACATGGTGAGCACAATAGTGCATTTTTCCATAAATGAGAAAATGCGCTAAAAAGTTTTATCCATTCTACTGTTTACAATACTCTACATATATTTGAATTTGAATGTAGATTCTAGTCTTGTAGATGACTCCAATGCAAAAAACACCTGCGCCGTGTGAAGTATACTAAATAAAATTTGACTGCATAGTGGCAATTGGCAAAGCAGAGATTTTTTTTAGACTTTTGATTTCAATTTTAAGCCCTGTTAGTAGACCAGCAAAGTATCATGGATATATTTATCTGCAATTAGCATCATCATCATACATAAGATATTGTTTTAAATCTTGAGTAAATGAGAAAATTAAAAATCAACTGATTCTAAAAAATCCCTGGTTTGCCAATTGCCACTATGCTTGACTGCTAATTTAAATCAAAATGCATCGCATGAAGGCCCTGGTGACAAATAAATATGTCAGAAAATTTCACATTATTCTTCTATTTTTTTCCAAATATTTATGCAATGGTGTTGATAAAATCTCTGAATTATAGCTCATTTTGAAGACCGAACATTTTCCTATCTGATAGATTACTGAAATTTCTTCTGGCATAATGAGAAAGTTTGTTACAGACACACTGACTTCTATCCTAATAAGCCATGGAATTTATTTAAACTTATTTGTTGCCCAGTTTTGCATCTGAAGCTGGAAATGTAATGCAGACAGCTAAACACATTGGCAATTGGGCAGCAGCAGCTGCTGCCAGATGTTGCTAGCTGCAGATCTGCAGTGCACTGGCTACTGTTATAGTAGCCAGGTCGGTGCAGCAGGGCTGTCCCTTTACTGCACGCACATGCTTGCCTTTTTTACTTGTGCATTCATATTTTATGCCAAAACATATAGTATAAATTTTCTCATTCAAAACTATTATGTTGCCCTCCAATGAAAACGAGGGTTCCATTTGCCACCATGCCATGTAGGGTGCACAGCATGGTGGCAAACCAGAGATTTTTTGGATTCAGTTCATTTCTAACTTTCTCACAATCTCCCTTACTTAAGATTTAAACAATATTTTATGTATGATAATGTTGGTAAAAGCCTGGTATCCATGATACTTTGCTGGTATACTTAAAGTAGGTATAGGTATATATAGCTGGTATACTTAAAGTAGGTAGGTATATATGTAGTTATTTGTAGCAGCTGATTTATGAGAATTCTCTGGTCTTCAATGAAACCTGCTTCAAGGAACAAATTTTGCCAAAATATACTAATTAAAGTAGGTATGTGCACAAACCACGTGCAGATCACAACAAAAATACTGAAATGACGGACAGGCAGTTTTCACTACAGCATACGGGAAGCATTCAATTTTTAAAGTCCCACCCAACTGGTAGCTTAATTTGATTGATGTTGGCATGTGTGTATTCTCCCCTAAAGTTATTCTTCCCTAAGGCAAGAATTTGTATATCTAGTAGTTAGAGACAATATTTTTTGTTGTATATATTTGCAGAAATTATCGTGCCAATGATGGCAGCTGAGTATGGTTCAGATGATGGTGTTATTGCTACCAATGATGATGCAACAAGTTGCAAGGCTTGTGCTGTATCCCTAGGCTATTGGAAGGACCCATACCTCCCTCACGTTTACCCAGCTGCTCCTGACAGACGCCCTCCTGAAATAAACAGAGGGTTCTACGCCAGAACTCATTCAATATTCTTGCTTATCCAGAAATTCATCCAGGTGAGCACTGTGAGATATCTAGCTTATATACATTAACTCACTGTCTTGGCTAATTTTATTCTCATAGTAAGTAGGTATTCTGTTTTAATTTAAAATATTTTTCCAGACTCATTAATATTTAGATGTATAATGGCATTGCAATTTACCATAGAAATTATTCCTAAGTTACCCTCTTTTGTTTTTAATTTACTTGTCTGAAATATTTTTGTCTCGCTAAATGATTACTCATGGAGTTGGAAATATAAATTGTGTTTAGCACAATGCAAGTGGAGATCAACTTGAGATGAATTTATCAAAAGCCACATTTTATAAACCAGAATCATCTTGCATCTGTTTTCTATTTGCACAAGATACCAGTCTGTTTTGTATTGATAATCTTAAAACATCATTCCCTCCAATAGAGAATTTTCCACATAAATTCATTATTTTAGTATAATTAACATGGTGTACTGGTATTTAGTTACCTATTGGTTGACTAAGCATCTTATATCATTTTTGATGGTAAGTTTTGTAGAAGGATTAAAAAAGCTTTCTTTAAGCTTTGATCTGATTGCAGATGTCATGTTTGTTTTATTGCCGGGATTGTTTAATGGTTCATATTTACTACCAAAAGATTTCCCCTTCTGATTCTACTCTTAATGATGCATGTACTTATACCTCTTATTCTTGCTCCATGTTTTACAAACATTTATTCCTTTTTTTGACATGAAGGTCACAAAAGGCGACTGTCAGATAGTCAACCTCGGTGCTGGGTTTGACACTCTCTTCTGGCGACTTAAGAGTGCCGGTCACACACCTGTCCGCTTCATAGAACTAGACTTCTCTGAGGTGACTGCTAAGAAAACTCACTACATCCAACGATCCAAAGCCCTACTGCAAGCTATATCTGATGATGGTGGGTGGGGATGTTGGTATATCTGATGGTGGGGGGGGGATGTAGTTGTATCTAATGATGGTAGGTTTGATGTGGTAGACATATCCAGTTTGATTATTGAACAATTTCATTACTATTTATGACTTATCAAAATCTACTCTGATAAATGTATACAACCTGATTTGTGAATTAGAGGTGGTGAGAAGATGTAAAAATATGTGAAAGATCATCTAAATTCAATCATAAAATTTCAAATTCTATATTTTAATTTGCTTCAGTACAAAAAGTAAAATTTCTAAATTATATTTTTGTCCACAGAAAAGTAGGGTGATTTTAATGGTTGTTTGTTCTTTAACCAATAGCATGCACTTCATTTTATTGTATTTTCGACCCTGATCTGCTTTTCTCCTGCAGACTATGACATCAAGCTAAACCGGAACAACCTGCACGGCTTCAGGTACAAGCTCATGAGCACAGATCTGCGGGTCCTATCTGAAGTGGAGGCCAAGCTGGAAGAGAGTGAAATTGACTACAGTTTGCCCACAGCCTTCATTGCAGAGTGTGTGCTCGTCTACATGTGCCCCACTAAGTCGTCACAGTTGCTCAACTGGATCGCTAAAAAGTTCAAGTCTGCATTTTTCATCAATTACGAAATGGTACAGGAACGAAATATATATGTAATTAGTTACTAAGTTGAAAGACGAGCTTCCTTTGGACTTATGATATGATATTTTTTACTCATGATTTGAGAAGAGAATGTGATTTTACTCAGCTCTTCATGGATTACCTTACAGTAAATGATTATTGCAAGCATCTTCACTACCCCAGCCCTTGGATTGAATTTCCTGAAATGAGATATTTACTGCCACATCCATTCTGGTAACTTGCAGAAATATATATTGTACTTCAATTCACATATGTTTTTGTGAATAATTACACAAGTATGAAGACATCGTTCAACAAATGCAATAGGTTTCCTCAGAATTTGTTATGTGGTTGGAGGAGCTTGAGCTTGGTGTTTTGTTTGTAGGGCACAAATTAAGTTGTAAGGAATATCTATATTATTTGAGCAGTTCTATTATTTGCTGTTTTTTGGTATATTTTTGGAATTCCTGAAAGACTCGGATATATTTGAAATTGAAATTCGTGAAAGATTTCTTATTAATTGTATGAAAGCAGTTAGATAAGCCTTTCATTGTTTTAAAAAAGTTTCTGATAGTGACGTGTGAAGATACTTTCAGGTGAACCTTGGTGATCGCTTTGGTGAGGTGATGCTCTCAAACCTGCGGTCACGGCACTGTGACCTGCAGGGCGCCGCTGCCTGCGCCACACTGCAATCTCAGGAAGACAGGTCAGCTGATCCTGGAGCCGTACTTTACACTTCATTACCTGCAGCTGATCCTGGAGCCGTACTGAGTATGCACTTCAATACACGTAGCGGCCGATTTATCGTCTGTGATTGTGGGCTTAGCAGGAAAATCCACCAGTGATTGGCTGGCACAGTTATACTATATAGTTATACTATCTATATCTATCTATACTCTATAGATAGTTATACCTACTATCTATACTATATAGTATAGTTATACTATCAATTTATATATGTAACTATTTTGGTTAGTACTGCACGAGGTCTCTTGTCTACTAAATTTCGAGTAAAGTTAGCCGAGGGAAACCAGAATATTTTGCTCGCATGTATTATGTTCAGTAATTAAAACTAGGACTGAAAAATGCAGTCTAGGTGCAGTCTCCTAGACTATTTAATCCAGATGGACCTAATAACCCGGACAGAAGGCGACATGAATGTACAAATGCTTGCTAATGAGATGGTAAGTTTCTTTAGGGAAATAATGCCAACAGTAAACATAACATTTTGTGTTTTCACCGATGAAAGAATTGTATCATCATGGCAGATGATTAAGAGATCAGATTAGTTGCAGGAGCTCAATTTGTATGACAACAAAGATCACAGAGCCTCTCATCTACTTCTTGCAAGCAAGGGGACGATGACAACTGTTACAACTATTAACCCTAGCTTCTGGTGGTGGTAAAATACAGGATGGTTGATTTTTAAAGAAAGAAACGATTTTATTGATGTACTCCTATTAAAATTCGCCACATATTCCAATACCTAATGACTAACCGCAAGTTGTGAAGACTGCACAGTTGCTCAAAGATATTGATAGACACGGCCGACCGGACGCTTTGATGCTGCTAGATCTAAATTGATAAAAAGTATACATATAACATGCAGAGGCATTGCGCCTCGGCAGCAAAACCGGATGCAGCTGTCGAGCAAATTTGGTAGCCGTTAGAAATTTTCCTTCTTCCAGCTATGGCATCCTCCTAATCAGTCACCTGCCATCAGTCATGAGTTATTCGAATCTAACAATACCTGTACGAGTGACTGTCAGGTGCTGAGCCATAGCAGTTGATGATAATTAAATGTTTATCGCTCCCAGTTGGTCAGTATGCAATACAAATGCGACAAGAATTTCCTTCTTGCTGCGTTGCATTTGAATTGAAATCTGCATCATCAGTTTTTATTTTCAGCATTTCAGTGGATAGCTGCTTGATCATTCCCAGTAAATGTTTTACCCCCGATTGCCGAGACTTTAACAGTAATGATGTAAGAATAAATTCGATCCCCTGTCCCAATAAAATGCTAGTCATAAAGCAAGCTACCATGAAGCATTTAGATTTTTACGAAGTGGTCCTGTTATAAAAGTAATCTGCTGTGCAGGTTTGTGCAAGAGGGCTGGGCGGGAGCTGAAGCAACCGACATGATGGGGCTGTGGGAGAGGCTGCCTCGAGCTGACGTGTCTCGCGTGATGCGCCTCGAGATGCTCGATGAAAACGAGCTGCTCACTCAGCTCTTCTCGCACTACTGCATCACCACGGCCTGGACCGACACCAGATGGACCGAGATTACTCTTTAATTTCTAACGCGTTGTAGCTTCGTGCCGTGCTGTGGTCTGGCGCATCTCATACGCCTTCTGCACAATATTCACTTCTTCCGACATTTATTTAAATTAAGGGATTTCTTATGTAGGTATTTGCTATTGTTATTAGTTCCGAAATCTTAATTATTAGTTCCGGCATATCAGTTATTGGGCTGGCATCCGTGAAATGGAGTTAAGTCCCCCCCTTTTTACTCGCTGTAACGTAGTTTAAATTAATTAAATCAAGTGCCATGAGACGCCGAAGGAGAAATTAAGACAATCATCATTCAGCCGATGCAAAGAATTTATCTCGGCATAATCTTGTTGCTTATTTGAAATGTGGCTGGAGAATCAAACTTCAATTCTAGGTTTTACTTTCGCTGGTCCAGTATGTTGAATATGGACGTGTTAATTAACATTTCAGGGAAAAGAAACGTGAAATTTTCTTTCTTAATTTAATGGCGAGAATTTAATTTAATTTAACTTTAATATGGCGAGTTCCCTAAAAAAATCAAGCAAAATTTCGATGAAATAGACAACGTGTTTTGGTCCGCGATTAAGATGCAAGTGACAATGTGTCGAGAATTAATCTATTTAGCCATATTTTAGTCTTGATCGTTTTTCCAGTAACCAAAAAGAGAGGTGGTTCAGGCCACGTCTGGTGGAGCAACTTAATAGTTTGATTCTTATTTATATTAAAAGAAATCATGCCTGCAGTCGATGTTAAGAAGTCCGCTATTATGGCGTACGTATGTCATAGTAATTATTTTTTTAAAGACAAGACTGGGCATTGTCGGGACGTTGTATCAGGCACTAATATCTTTTTTGCTGTTGTAAGACTATCACAAATATTTACTGGCTTGCTTCTAGTGCATCCAGAAACTTGGAAGTAATCAACTTGAATTTATTCCTTCTTTCTTCAGATTAGTAAGTTTTGAAACGTTCAAATCGAAATATTGCTGTCCGAAATTGCGCAGGCTTATAGTTTACATCTTGCAAGTAGAAATCCGGCTACTATCAGGCTTTGGAAAACGGCAACTGTGTTACTCCTTATAATCCACGGTGCAAAGTATACCTAGTAGAAGTGAATCGTAAACTAACGCTGGTGAGAAAAAGCTATTTGAGGTTTGACGCAGTTTCCCAAGATTCATCAAGATTAAGATCCATACATGATTATGATTCATAAAGTTTCTTAAGATTCATCAAGATCAAGATTCATACATGATTATGATGCATAAAATTCAGTTTCCGTAATATTTGCATTAATACCTTGCATAATTTCCTTGCAATTCGTGAACTAAACCGTGAACTAATCGTGTGCTAGTCCTACACGTACGAAAGCCCCTGTCACATTGCCCTAGAATTGCTCTTTGTCTACGTGATCTCTATTCTCGTAACAGCGTCGTCACAAATCTGTTCTTACTTGTATTGAAATAACTAAAGGCTGTAATGTGCCAAGTTGGTTTTATTTGTATGTATTATCGCTACTCAATTGCTAATAATTGAATTGTAGTCACTACACAAGACGCGCTGCAGCCTGATTCACATTTAATGTGCGAGACTTCTTAGTAAAGCCTGTTATTTAAACTGGGATACTCGACTGTGAGCGATGGTTCTACGAGTGGACATTTGACTGTACATTACCCATCGTTTTATTGTTATTTTTTTTAAGTTTCTTAACGTTACTCTTACGTCACGAACTATTGAAATGTTGGCAGTGCTAAAGTTTAGGCACTTGTATTGGATGACTCAGTATGAGTTCGATTTGTAGTACTTAACTGCAAGTTACTACAAACGTTAATATTTACTAACATTCGTAAAATAAATTCCCCAACAACTGTTTGAGAAATTGAAATTTTCAAATAATCTGATTGATATTTCTATTAATGATATTTGTAATAAGAGTTGACACCTAGTCTAATTGATATTGAACAGGCTTGGAATTGTGATGTGAAAATATGACTCATGAGCGATGTCGTTTTGTCGTTCAAGAATTTATATTTGAGCGCCATAGATTAGTTCACGTTAATCTTGAACACGTTGCTTATATCAGGCAGCAATGAACTACTCATTATTCCTTGCTAATGTGCTTCCGTTGTGTTGTATAATCGTAGCAATCCTTAACCTCATTGTTGTATATACTTCTTAGTGGCTGCTTCCAGTCGCCTATGAATTAGCTGTCGCATGTGCTTTGTTGTCTAGGGCACTTTACGTCGACATCTCACATATATCAAGGATCAAAGTTTTCTCTGCACCGGTGTTAACTTTTCCAGCTATACTTTATTTAGCGATGTTAAAACACGCACTTATAATACACTTGATCTGTAGTTAAAAAACTCCGTTTACCTTGGCAGCTACCGTCAGGTAAAATAAATGATCAATGCTGCTTATTTGCACTTGAGAGATATCCCTGGTGACCAATTATTAGCTGGTTTTCCGTGGGAGTTGAGCTGTATAATTTGTCTACAATTGCCGTTCTTAATTACTTTCTAAGGAATATCTTCTGGTTCGTCGATCACTGGACGGCAAGTTTCAGCTCTCCATTAGCAATCTATATAACCAACGTTGTCTTAAAAAATATTGTTTTAAGGTATAACTATTTGTATGAACCATTGTATATCAGTTAAGTGATTAAGTTTAATATTCGGGAAAAATTTTCAGTCATTTACTATGAATTGGTTGCTTATTTGTATGAATATTCTTTCCATAACCGTTAATTCATCATCGACTGAAAACCTGTTAGAGCAATATTGCTCCATTAGAATTCTGTCTGTTATCAACTTTCTTTTATAACAGGTCGGAAAGATTAGCTTCCAAGTTCATAGATAAACTTGGATCTGAAAATGCACTCATTCAGCGCTTGGTTCATTCGAATAGTCTTCTCAGAAACTGAACTTTTCGAAGTGAAAATACGCATAGATGAATGCAATCTAAGTGAGGGTTCACTTTAATTTATATGTATCAAGGCAAAATCTGCAGGCTTGCGACAGTCCTTATCAACCGGGATTCAATACATTATTTTTCCTATTATAGAGAGATCTCTTAATTATCTCTGGTCTCCTATCAAACGCACGGTACTTTCCGTTGCAATTTTTGAAATGTGCTTTACCGAGAATATTCTTCTACTTATTGTACTTTGAAAATAGCGTAGTTGAATCATCTGGTGATTAGCGAAAATAGTGAATGCAACGATGCCCAGCGAGAAGAGGTAAGCAACACATAGGCTCGTGTTCGATTCTTTCCCTTCATTTGCTCCCTCTGAACTAACTTTATTTTCCCGGATCTTTGTTATCGTCTGTAGTATGTGGGTTAGCTAGTTCATAATTTGTACATATTTTACTCGCGCGCGCACGTAGGTAATTTCTCTCCAGATTCTATTTTATGAACCTGACTTTTCAGATGATGCATGGCTTCGAATTTCTGTACATTTACTAGATGTCGAGAGAGTGCTTGCAAGGTCCAGTGACTTCAGTCCATTGTGCGCCTGATCTTCTCAAGTTTCTGATGCTATCTATTTCCGTACTCAGTAGGTTTAGAATAAAGTAAGAACCTTTAGTCTCTATCTATTGGTCATGAAATTTAAATGTTAGTGAAGAAATACTTTCAAAGCGGCTCGCAAGAACAGCTACTTGTACATTTACCCTGCTAACCTACTTGCTATGATGCATTAGTCACTGATTTACTATTGCAGTTAACTCTTTTAATGAACACCATGCAATGCTAAGCAGGAATACATTGCACTGCGTTTGGGCGAGGCAATAAAATTTCAAAGCTACCGTGATGTAACAATGGAAGCTTGTTTTCAATTCGTTGCAAATGAATGGTCGTTTTCTATTTGAGATGGCGACTCTGTACTCACTGATAAGTTGAGTAGAACTCTTCGGCCACGAGCCTTTACTATGTGTGCTGATTTCTTCCCGCTTCTTGCTTCGATGTCGTGTCGTAGCTCAGCTACTATGTTGTGTGTTGTAGCTATTCGAGGTAATCGTGGTTAATAATAAGACTGCAGCGTTAATTAGGGTACTTCTGTTGAGCTTTTATCGATCTAGTCTGCCTTTTGTGGTAATCCTTGTAGTGGCTTGCAAATCTTGTGGTTCTACTACAAATCGTTGTCGATCTATTTGTATATAAAATGGATATATATTTGTTTGTGACTGTGATATGAAGATGTGACGATATATAGACTCCGCTGAATGGATGTTTCACGAAAGAATCTACTCAAAACCGCCTATTAATTCACCTTTGTCTCCGAGGATGCCAAGTAATATGAACGGCTCCTAAAATCATGACGATACGAATTAAATCATTCGCACTGAAGAGAGGAAAAAATTCTCGCGGAATTTATGAATAAATTGCCTTGACTCTGTAACTTGGTATTTATTCCATCGGAATTTCGAAGGAAGGTTCATAAGCTGAGGAAAAAGCAAGAATATTGTTATGACTCGCAAGTTGTCTGCGTTTCTTGCGGCTTTACACTTGCTGCGGCTTTACACTTTCTTGCTGCTGCTGCTCTCGCGTTGCCTATTACAAATATTGACGAGATGTTCGCGAGTTGCAAGTGGTTAAAGTTCCCATAGTCACAGGGTTATTAACGCTTTGTCTGTTGCTTGAAGTTCCCGTTGCCACTCATTTGAAAACGAATAGATTAACGTAACCGTTGACAAAAGGTAAAGTGAAGTAACAACTGAACACTTCAACATGAAATAAGATAATAGGTTTATAGAACAGGAATGATTGATTATATATTTAACATTCAATTGTGAAGCAATCCGAAAGAATTTTTACATTCTCAGATAATCGCCCTATGCGGACGAAATGACTCTTATGAAATTATTGAGAATGAAACGTGACTTTACATTCAAGTTTAATAGCTCACTTATGCTATAAAAACGAACGCGCACGTATAATACAATGTACTCTGCTGGGCGAAACCGCAGGTACTAGTGATATACTAATTATATTCGTTATAAATAAAGGAAACTATTGCGTTGGCATCTTCGATAAGTGAAAATTCGAATATGCAATAATGTATTCACGTCAAGCTCGTCAGACATCGCGAGCTTCGAGGCGGTGCGCCCAAGATCAATGCTTTTGTAAACGCGAACTTCATACTCTGTCATGGAGAAGACATCATTCCGTGGTAATAACTTTTGACTGCACCACCGATAGGTACTTTAATAGACTGGTAACCACCAAATACACAAGAAATGATGAAATAAAAGCTTTCAGTATATGCGATCGTACAACATTGGTGCTCAGTCTAACAGAAACGAAACGATGCAATACGAAAGCGGTTCATAAAATATAACTCCACACGATCATTACAATAAACTTTCACACTGAGGAAGCACGGTATATGAACACGTGACAAATTCACTAATACTTATCATTCACATTCATTATTCACTTTTCAACCAGCATTGATACCAGCTGATGCCAAAATAATACGGAAGTTAAGCTTATGCTATCCAAACTCCCAAATGAGACGTACCATCAAAACGTTCAACAAACGTACCTCACCTACATCATTGGGCAGTCATGTGTTCGGGTTATAAGGATAAAATATCACGTTCACACATGAATTTAGTATAGAAAATATAATTATTATATAAGGGTACTTAAAGCTAATATTTCTTGACAGCCTTGCGTATAAGAGCCATCCTCTGCTTATGCGCCTCTGTGGTGGGCGCCCGCTTGTACGGCCGCAGCTCCTCTGTGCCGAACCCAGGGATCCACATGTGCCACGAGCGCTCTGATCCAGCACAAGCACGTTTATCAATTATATAATTATGACACAATTATATAAGGTAATTATGTCTTTATGAATAGAAATTTTTCGACTTGCATACCAAATTGATTCAACAACAATAACAGAATGCTAGTATTAAATACATTACTACTTCACGGTCAGACGTGCATGCTGTGCCATATGTGCAGGTCTCCTCAAAAGCCCCAGTTAGCCTGCCTCACCTAAATACATGTGCAGGTCTCTGACGTCCAGTTAGCCTGCACCACAGCCTGCCTCACCTAAATACATGTGCAGGTCTCTGACGTCCAAGGTACGCGCGCCTCTGTGCTTGGCCAGACGGCACGCGGCGTTCACGCTCGACTCGATGAAGTCGTCAGCAATGGCCAGCAGCGCCTCCTCGACCTCCTCATCCAGCTGCTCGTTGGGGTCCACCTCCCGCACCAGCTCTGTCAGTCTGCTCCTGTTCACGACCTGCAGAAATGAGGGAACTGGAGTCAGAGCTCATCAATAAGAATCTGGTCTGCTTTACATCAAATATTTTGTTATCAAGAACTTAAAAGTAAAAAAACATCAAGTAAATTCACCAAATATTTATTGAAAACATTACTATTTTATTATAACTCATAAGATTACACAAAAAATGCCTATATAACATGATTATAAAAAATATCTTAATTAACTTCTAAATTTAATTGTTTACATTAATTGTTCAAAAGAATGGCAGAATGAAAAATAAATTACATTCTGGGACATTTATTGTATTAAAGTGTCAGTGAAGACTCACGGGCGTGAGGGACTCTGATGGCAGTGAAGGTGCAGGGACTGGCACAGCCTGAGCCATTTTGGGAGGAGCTTGTTGCTGCTGCACAGGGTTTAAGCCAGGCTATGGAAATGAATGATGAATGAAAACATGCACAACTGAAAGCATGAAAAGATATGAAATGCCAAATCACTCAATGAGAATTATGTCTTTGCATGAACAATCACTTTGCATGAAAAGCAAAGGAAAGAGAGGAAGTGGTATTTGAGAAGCCATAGAGCAGTACTCATGTTTAAATTATATGTCAGTGTTTGATGATGAAATTATCTTACACCTCAGACCTAACTTTATTTTAATAGAAAACCATAGAGATGGAAGTCAGCCCGTTGCAAAGAATGTGAAATTTTCTAGAAAAATATGTGAAGTATAGCATTCTGTAGTATTCTGGTTTTTACAATATTTACTTTAACTTTCTGGTTTTTACAATATTTACTTTTCTCACATATTTACTGGATAGTTTTTGCTGACCATCCCTCAAAAAAGATTCTAAAAATATTCAGGATTATCCTGAAACAATTTATGAATCAAAACATCTCAGATAATTTAATCAAGTCAGAAATAGCTTACGTGAGCTCATACAGTACCTTGCATGGTCAATTTCATTGCCTGCAAGCGACTATTGACTATTAGTCATACTTTTTTCAGATAAAGTCACAGGTAAATTTGCATCAATATCAGTCAAGGATTTGTTTGAATGTATAATTAATAATAACATAAAAAAAATCTATTAATGATTATATGGAACAAAAATTTGAATAGGACCAGCAGTAATTAACAAAGAGGAGGCAGTACATAAAAAGCCATTAAATAAACTCAAATAGAATATTTAAATAAAAACTTTTCAGTTATTGCCATTGTTACATCAAAGAAAATGATCAAACCTTATCATGTATATGTTCCAACTTCAAGAAAAATGTTAAATAGTTAAATGGATAATGGGAGCAGTAATTTGAAACAAAAAAAAAGTTTTATTAAATAATAACACAGAGATGGTCCAAGTTAATTTTGTTTCTATGTAGCTGGTATTTAACACAAACCTGATTTTGGATGTTGTTATTTACGAGAGATATGCTTGAGCCATCCTGCAGCAGGGTTGTAGCCGGGTGGTTATTTCAGTATTTTTCATCGCAAACCAAATCTGTTATTCATTTGTTCACTCATTG